ATTAAGTTTTTAACAACAAATACTAAAAAGAAATAAAAACTAAACATTAGGTATGATTTTGAAAAAATAAAAGTTTAAGTATTAAAATGGGCAAAACTTGATAATTTAAGTACTAAATTCATAATTTACTCTAAAAAAATAACCTTACATTCAACACTTTCTCAGCCAAATGTTCAAGTCGAAGTATTAGCATAAAAGTTGTACAATCTATGAAAACTTATCTTTTATTTTAATTTTTAAGTTATAAGTACAATCTCAGTTATAATTAATACACATTTGAATAATTATAACCAAAATCAACTATTAAAAACACGAACGAACTAATATACAAAATGTATTGAATAAATCTAAAATAACTATAATCATAATCAACCCTAAATGATTTGAATATGATGATTTGCCTCAATAAAACTTGGACATGATATATCAAAGATTTTAAGACTACTACTTACCTCTAAACCAATACCTCATCTAGCTATGCCATCCTTCGCAAACTTGGATTATAGAATTATATGAGCCAAATTTGGGCAAAAGCTTTTACTCGAGTACCAAACTATGATAGACCTGGACAAACAAAAGTAATTCCCAATAATATATAGCTACAAAACAGGACATTAATAATAACTAATAAAATAAATAAAGACATGAAATAAATAAGTTTATTGTGTCATGATAAAAATAATTTTTGTTTTAGAAACAATTTCATTATGATTAGGGATGCTTATAGAGCGAGTCGATCGCGAGTTGGACAATACTCGACTCATGCTCGTTAAAAAGTTTTGTTTCTCTTCTTGACTCGTTGTTCGTTAAAATTTTGCTCAACTCGTGCTCATTAAAAAAACTTGTTGCTTGAATAATTGCTCGTTAAGCTTGTTAAACTCACCAAAAATTTCACCTTGTTTTTTTTAACTATATGTAAAATATACGAATACTACATAGAACATAATATAAACATAAATTAATAAAAAAAATATAAAGAGTGTATAAAGTAATTTTAAAGTCTAAACTTTAAAATAACAATCTACAAATATATTAAAATAATAATTAAGGTTTGATTTTGGGTGTAGTAAAATTACAATTGTTAATTTATAATTTAATAGTTTGTATTATTTATTAGAAAATTAATAGATTAATAATTTATCATTTTTTATTATGTATTAGTAAATTGATTTTTTTTAAATAATTACTAAAAAATATTAAAAAATTAAAGAGGTGCTCGCTAACTTAACATGTCGAGTTAGATTTACTTAACTCGTTAAGATCTCAAGTCGAACTTGAGTTCGAGTCAATCCGAATCAAACTTTGACCAAATTTTAACCGAATCGAATTCAAACTGCTTAACTCATTAATCACCCCTAACAATATCAGTATAATCATCATAAAACGTATGTTATGCTCCAAAGTTAACAAATGGATTTCAGATTCGTGTACTCAAATTAGAAATATAGAGCTCAATGGCAAAAAAACAAAAAAAAAAACCGACAAACTCATAAAAAGGATAAAAGAGGGATAATCAAATAGGTGGTTGCAATGTGTAAAATAATGATTTGAAGCTTCCCATTTATATGAGAAATAGAAGGGACGCAACAGATAAAGGATAATGTCAGTTACCAAAAATACTAACAAAAACTCTGCTAAAAATATGATATAATGTCAAAAATGTCCTTAATGTTTAATCAAAAAACCACTTTAGCCCATATTCTTTTTTTTTTTATATTTTAATCTTAACGTTTCATTTGAGGAAAAAAGTCTCTATATAGATGAAATCGTAATTAAAAAACGATTAACACTACAAAATAGTGATCTTTCATTCTAAAATGAAACGATAATGGCCAAAATACTCGATAAAAAAAGGTCAAAGTGACTATTCAATCAAATATTGAGGGCGAAAATAATTAATATATATATATATACACACACACAAACTAAAATGACTATTTTGATAAACACTGGGTGCTAATTTTAACATTATGCTAAAAATATCCAATAAAATCTTTCATGTTATTCAAAATTGACTACTTTTGTTTCATTAACAATTCTACACTTGCGTAAAAAAGTATTACGAAGAATGAGTAAAAGAATAATAGATAAATTAATTCTTAGAACTAGTGACGAATTTGAAACTAATGGTTAGTGAAATGAGTAAAATTTCTTTTAACAATGAATACATCTAAAATCTATTAAAATATAAGTAAACTCATGACACCCGTATAATTTTAAGTTCAATTGAGTTTCATGATAAATCAACAATATAACTAATATATCTCAAAATGTTGGTAAGCGCTTTAAAAAATAATCTAACGTCTTTCATAAAAATGATCAATCATTCATATTTACATTAAGTGATTTCATCAAGTTTATCTCAATATAAATCATTTAGATTAGAACTATGAAATCAATAAGAACAATTACCAAGTTCATCGTTTCATATTTAAATTTGATGAATTTAAATTCATTTCAATACCACCACCAAAAACTCGTGAGATATGAATTCATTAAAAGTATTTAATAGTTTAACTTGTTGATAATTTTATCAAATTCATCTCAATAAGACCACCTAAGTAATTATATATGAATTCATTAAGAATATTAAGTAGTTTGTCCTTTTAAATCAATGAATTCATCAAATCTATCTTAATAGAACCACTAAAATCATAGATTACAAATTCATTAAAAGCTAAAAGCTCAACCTCACAATTGTACATAGCATGTCATGAAAATATTTTGAATATGTATAAAATAAGTCTTTCTATAATTTTATTTGATCATATGAAACCTAGAGGACTAGATTGAAAATCCATTATGAATTTTTTTGACCAGTGAACTTAAGATCCAACCTCTCGATGAGTCATGAACATATTCCCTTAAATAACCTTTTAGTTAATGGATCAATAAGGTTCTTCGTCCTCACATATTCTATAATGAGTACTTCATCTTTACCAAATGTTTCATAAACATGTTCCATTAGTTTTGTCATTGTCTCAATATCATAAACCTAATTTTTAGTCACACAAATGGTAACTTGTGATTCGTATGATAAAACATATTTGTTTTACAAATTCCTAATATATTCGACCTTTTGCATCTATAGGGTATGTTTTATCAATAAATTAAAAAACTTTTAAATAGATACTATCTTATAATCACGTATACTATTAAAAAACAATTTGAGTGTAATTCATAAGAAAACGACACTGCTAATGATTTAAACAAACCAAGAGCGTCCTTATATTAATTTTAGTATCTTTTAATGTTAAGATTTCAGTTACCCCACCCAAATCAATCATTTTCAATTAAGAAGACAAGTAACCTTACCTTCGTGCAATCAAATCATACTCATGCATGAAATATCGATTTATATGTTTCATTCAGTACTGCATGCAAACTAAAATTCATGCATAATTTTTAGACACCCTACATTCTCTAACGTTGTACGTTCAGAATTTATTGTATTCAAAACATACGTTGTCTAATCACATTTTTTTCATAAAGGACATGCAAATAAATTTGTCTTGAACTGTTTAGGTACACTTACACATAATGAAATAACCACATAATTCATATTTTGTTTGCCTACATATATACTTATAAAATTTTCAACATGACATCATGATGATTAAACAAGCATGGATGATAAAATATATAACACCATTACCTATCGTTACTCTTTCATATTAGTCAAAAAATTGATTTAGAAATAACCACCATAAATTTATTATTTACTAAGATCAAATTGATTTTTAGCTTATTAGCATCACCAGCTTTCTTTCTTTAACTTTTACACCAAGAGACCTAATTTTTCATAGAAGTTATAAATTAGAATAATGAAGGATAAAATAAAGCCAAACTAAAGATAGCATGAAGGAGATAGCAACATCCGGACTAATCACGACTGAACTTTCATATTTAACAAAAAAAGAAAACTTACCTTTTAAGATGAAACTTCATTTTTCACCAGCTGGTTTATGTTCCTGGAAGGGTGCCATGGTAGATTAATATAACCACAACTTTGTCAGATGTTATCAGTTTGCAGAGCCCATATTTGGTGATTTTGTATGTTATGTACTCATCATTTTGTCTGCTTTCCTTCTCTGCTATAAGCCTTCAGGAATTACATAATTTCTGATGTAATTCAAATCTTTTCTTTGCCAGCATGAGATCAGTAATTGAGCGCTACAACAAAGCAAAGGAGGAAAATCAACCGGGGAATCCAACATCTGAAGTCAAGGTATTTTTTGGTACTTGATCTTCAAATTTCTTGAATTTTTACCTTTCAGTGAATCTGCATGCTTGTAAAGATAAGGTAAGACTGAAAGGCTAAATAATTTTCCATTTGATGAACCATACATTACAAGCATGCCCGGAAATATGATGTGCGAAGTTAAACGTTCCCGACTTTGCATACACTGTTTTCGCTGAACAAGTAGAGCAACAAACCGCTTTTTTCTTTTGCAGGTTTGCAGTGGGTATGAGGTACTGACAATACATGCAAAATTTATATGTAGAGATTAGCTTCAGGTCTAGACTTCTTTCAATTATTGACCAAATGTTGACAGCACTAAAACCTTAAACATAATAATTGATTTGTATGCACATCATTTGACTCCTCTTGAGAGTGTTGGAATAGGAACGCCTAATTGCATGCATAGACTAAATAGCCATGCTAAGACTGTGTTGTTCACTTGTTCTCCTAGCCACAGGATTTTGGAAACAGAACCAATAGAAAAGAGGTCCAGGTTGAACACCAGCTAAGTAAAAATTTATAGAAGTATATTATTAGCTTAAGGTGATACCTGGGACTTTAAATACGAATAAGTTTGAATAACCCAACACTTCAGAACCTTTTCCAGTAGCCAACATAAAAATTAATTTAGGCTCATGCATCTGAATAAAATATATCATAATCTTTAAAGGGATATTTCCTACAACTATAGTGGTCATTAAGAGAATTGTCACGTCTATAAATATGCATGGTTATGGTAATGTTTCCTTATTGAAGTTTTTTTTTCTGCATATTCATACTTCGAGCAATAAAAGCTGTGATTCTGAATCTTACCATAGTATCAATCTTAATTCTCAGTTCTGGAAAAGGGAGGCAGCAGTTCTTAGCCAACAGCTACAAAACCTGCAAGAAAATCACAGGTATTTTGACTTTTATACCAAATAAATCCATCATAGCAGACATCAGTAGGAAAGCAAATGAGCCAAAAATGCAGAATCAAGAAACCACTTTTACATTAAGCATTTTTCGGAAAACAACAAATATGCCCATGTCTGGATTCATCATAGACAAGCTCTTTCTTTCAAGCCGATAACATGAATAGCAAACTAACTTTCTCCTTGAACCTGTGGTAACTATCTATTCCAACCTTTTAGATGCAATTAAGATGTTCTATATCATGGTTCAGATATTTTGGAGATCAGATTAAATGAAACATTCGTTCTTCAGTTAAGGCGAACACACAGACACTGATGATCCTAGACATAAACTTATGTCTGTAGAAGGCAGATTTAATATCTGTCCTTAAAAGCATTGGATGCATCAAAAGTAAAAATGACCTAAATAATAGAAATGGGATAAAATATCCATTGCATCTCATGTGTACATCTATTAAAAGGTTTTATGTAAGAAACAAATCCTACAGACTGAAAATATGCTTCTGCACACCAAAACAGGCAAATGATGGGTGAAGAACTTACCGGATTGACATAAAAGATTTACAAAATTTGGAGAGCCAATTGGAAATGAGCCTTCGTGGTGTCCGTATGAAGAAGGTTTGAGATTTCTATTTCCATGTCACTATCAGTTTTAAGTTCAGGATACAAAATAAAGCAACCCCATGTTGGTAACATTTACCCCACTGCTGTAGGACCAAATTTTAATGGATGAAATTCAAGAACTGACCAGAAAGGTAAACCTAAATTGCATTGTCTCATTACTGAATCAACTCAAAGTTCCTAAATTTGTCTAAATTGCATTGTCTCATTGCAGGGGAACCTCATTCATCAAGACAATGTGGAACTCTATAAGAAATTAAACCAAATTCGTCTAGAAAACATGGAATTATATAAGGTAAAATTTTGAATGGCTCATAAAAATTTCAATTAGCCTATAGATATTAGAGACTCAAGACACTAACATTTGTCATCTATCTATGAGATGTTTAAAACCAACCTCAACAGATAAGTTTCCCATCCAGGTTTATGGAACAAGGGATGTCAACGGAACAAACAAAGAATTGTTTGTCACAAATGGTCAAAGCAATGAGGAGGATCCACGTGTCGCTGTCCATCTCCAGCTAAGCCAGCCACAGCAACAAAACTACGAAACACCAACAAGAGCTACAAAATTGGGGTAATTTTCCTCCTTATGGTAGATGATTCTGATTCAAATACCAGTTACTTTGCCACAAATTGATCTGCAAACTTTTTCATGGTAACTGCAGCAGATTGCAATTGTGTTAGCAAAAGAAAATGCATCAAAGTGGGACGGGATGTCACTCGATTTCTATCAACAAATAGCTCATGGTTCCAAAAGTTAAGTTTCTCATAGTAGATGTTTTATGTTAAAATCACCAATCATTCAGCAAAACAACATTGGTTTGAAATGACTAAACAAATGAACATTTAGTATCGACGTGATGATCAAGAAAACCCAGCTAGTTATGTAGGGATAAATTAAGTGTAATAAAGAAGATTAATATAAAGGAGAAAATGGACATTTATTCCATGTGCAGTTAACTATCTTTTTCAGTTTTAAAGATAACCAACAATGGAGGCCACAGTTACATTTATTTAAGTTGATTTAAATACGAAAAAACTTATTGTAGTTATGTCCTGGAACATATATGACAGCAACAAGGTGCTTCAGAAAGATATTAATATTTGCATAGGTGAAGCTACAAACAATTAATGAAATACAGAAAACATAAAAAAAAAATACACTGCTGAATATAATTTTACTACAATCAATTTTCAATGATAAACTGATACCATGATCTGCTATGGAAAACGAAAGGTTCATGTAACAGTGAGAAAACCAGTTCATATCATGATTACTTAATATGAACGATATTAAGAGATATAAATATTTATAATATAAGTAGATAATAGAGAGATTTCAAAGTAAGAAAACCATAGAATCATGTTTTTAGTTTAATGCTCGAAAAGAAGATGAACTAGTATCTTCTACGTGACTCGCATTCACATAACCAACCATAGAATCATGTTTCTAGTTTACTGCTCGAAAAGAAGATGAACAAGTATCTTCTACATGACTCGCATTCACATAACCCGCACACATTTACCTGTTGAAATGGTGGGCCTTAAAAGTAACATCAGGCTACATTTAATGTCAGCAAACTGTCAGATCAAAACATTAAAAAATTGGACAGCATATAAGCATCACAAGGTACAAAACCCAATACTAGATACAACATAAAAATTGAGTTAGAACAAAGGGCAGTGTATTTAACAAGGAATTAAAAGCATATGCTGCAATAACTCCGCCTGTGGAACACTAAATGCCTGAATGTGTGAACACAGCCGGTCTCAAGCCCGATAAAGGAGGAGGGTTGCAACATGTTGACAGAAACACTCCAACAATTATGCACTATCAAAATAACCTAACTTTTGAACCATAATATAAATGCAAGTGTAGCAAGAGCAAAAATAGAACATAAATATGTCCCTTGTAATTACATTTAGCTATATTCTAATGTAGAAGTCTTGTTCTCTTCCAGTACTCATGTTGGATACATATCAAACATATACCTTGGAGTTCCTTTGGGAACATCAAACTTAGATGCAAAGAAATCCAAGCTATTCATCAGAAAACATAACCAATTATAGTAAAAGACAAGCTGTAAGTAAAGGGCGGAAAAATCAGAAATAAAATCACAAGTATACATCAACATACAAGAGAAAGAAAGGGAACATTAATTACCTGCTCATCACCCTATTACAAAGGCTTGAAAAACCCAAAAACATTAACAGAAGGGCTCAAAGAAATAGTTTTAAAGCAGCGGGAAAAATTTCCAACATATAGACATAAAACTAAATACTATTTAGCAATGGCCATTAAAAATGAACTCAATAATTTCGACGCTGAAATTTTTTCCCTTCCTCCAAAACTCCAACACATATGATGAGGCATGCTCTCTGGTTATTTGGAGGTAGGGCTAACATAGGGCTTGCAAAGAAAACTTCAGCATAGCTCATGCATGTAAAAATTATTACAGATTAAACTATATATTTTGTAGATTAAATTATTTGAAGCCGTCTTCTGCCATTAGAGCCACTTGAAGATTTGACATGTTTCACATCCAAGTATCCAACACTTGCCTAGAAAGTGCAGATATTAGATTTTATCTGCTTAAAGAACAAGCACAATTATCAGGATAGTGTGCATGTTTTGCAAGTGAGAATATTTTTTTATCATCTACTGAGAATTAGTTGCCTCTGTATAGCATAACTAAAGTCAGCCTTAATCTCAGGCTAGCACCCACACCAATTGTTTTGCTTGCTTCAATTCAGTTGCATGCTATATGTTCCAAGAGATCTAAAGATGCCAAATCACTTAGACATGCCTACACATACATATTGAACATACAAAGACAGGTTTCATAGCTTTAGCAGGAAAAACTGCATCACTCCTTTAGTCTAGTTCAAATTGTCCAAACTTTTTGAACTCATCAAGATATTAAAAACCATTGCTATATATTAATCATAAATCTGAACTTATATAAGAAAATAACAAATAAGATGGAGCACTAATAATTCTGCCCCACAAGTGCTAAAACATTTAACAGGAGTCGTCAGGCATTGGTGAATAACCTCAATCCACTTCAACCTTAAGGAATGAAGACAATCAATAATAAACCATTACAAACCTATATACACATATCCTCTCTCTCTCTCTCTCTCTCTATCTAATCTCACTTTGCTAATTTAACCTAAATATACTTAGTTCTCATCCGACAAGGCAAAGTACAATCCCCTAATCACCATTTTCGTTTAAGATAATGTACATTTTACTCAGGAATTGGCATCAGCATTACACATATCCTAATCCTTAATACACATGTTGAATCTCTAAGTGAGTTGTGATCTTGAAGAAGATGAATGTTCTTTGATTTTAAATTACGTCAACAATAGCTTGAAAGATTTGAAACTTAATGTGCTTTAGTCTATTAAACCTTTAGAAAACTTTTGGCATATAACTTCGTAGGAAAATAATAGGCATGATAAAAAATCAAGAGAAATTTGATTATGAATCCCACAAAATTCAACTGAGGACACATAAAAGACTTGTATATGTAGAATAATTAATCCACAAAGTTAGGAGTTAGTTTCCTATTTTGTAGATATTAGAAAATCAGAAAATAATTAATTTTTTATTCTATTTAAGTATTACTATTTTATAGGAGGTAGTTTCCTAAATACTTATTTAGTTGTGTAGAAGTGTATAGATATCATGTACATATTCTGATTTAAGAAAGAAGATTAATTGAATTCCATTAGTGTTGGTTGGAATATAAGTAGTTTAAGTAAGGATAATAGTAGAACCTTTTAATTATAACAGTTTTATTTTCTGATCAGAATAATTCAACTTCAATTAAATTTAAAAAATTGCTAAAATTTTAAGCAGATTCAAAACAAATGCCTGCATCTCAAATGAAAAGTAGTGCCAAGTATAAGAAAACTTTTAAAATAGTTATCACATATGCTATCTTTTAAAAAGAAAATAACAACAAACTTCTACTTTTTTCACTTTAATAATAAAATAATATATTATAATATAAAAGTAAGATGGTTAATTGCCTAAACTTTGAATATATATATAATATATACTAATATTTCATATGCATAAATATCTTCAAATAAATATATATTTATCTATTGAGCAAATAATCATATTTAAATAATATACATATAAATATACAATAATAAAAAAATGAATAAAAGAAGTTGCAAGAGATGGAAAGGAGCATTCCTTTCAAATTTGGATTCGACCATTCGTTAACAACAGTCTTCTATTTCAAATTGAGTTAGAGGCTTTTCTATCTCAAGTCAAAAGTTATGTACTTTCGGTTGATTGAATGAATGGATTACGATATTCATAAAATGTGTTGTTTGAATTGGCACAAAATCAAACGGTGGATGATTAAATGCTGGGTAATGGTTTTCATACAATGTGTTGTTTCAGTTTGCACAAAATCAAAAGGTTGGGTTTAAAGAACGTAATAGAGGTGGATGTCATTTAAAGTAACCATGCTTAGCTGCTACTTGATAGTACTCTGCTAGTAACTATACTAGTTACATAGTACTCTGCTAGTAACTATACTAGTTACATAGTACTCTGCTAGTATCTATACTAGTTAGATTGTACTCTGTTAGTTATTGATAGTCTAAATCCTCTGGTGCTACTATCTCTACCTTTACAAGATTAGCATAGTGTAGATTAACGTAGTTTCTAACAACTTAATTGGAAGGAGATGAGAAAGGAGGAGATACAACAACACATTTCCTACTGGTCATGTAGAAAATGGCAAATACCACTTGAACTCCAAGTGAAGAAATGCCTTTTTGTATCATAATATGCCACTTCTGGTCATGTAGAAAATGGCAAATACCACTTGAACTCCATGTGAAGAAATGCCTTTTTGTATCATAATATGACACTTCAATCTAAATACTGGTATCATCTCAAATTTATATTGTTATAAGTATGTACCACTAGCAATCTGATATTATTCCATATCTTCAATTAGCAAATCATAACTTTAGATACATGCCAAACAGTTCAAACTGAAATCGAATACCTCAACTTGTTCATATAACTATATCTAGTAGTAACAAAAATTAAAACAAACAAGGGTATATTTCCAATACTAACACCAAAGACTGATAAAGTTTTTTTAAAGAAATATTATTAGTAATAATTAGTTACAAAATTAAAGAATACTAGAGGGTAAGGGAACAAATTATCCATCAGTAGTTCCAATGAAGTGAAAAAAACATCTACGGAAACCAACACTAAGAAATTCAATAGCTTAGTTCAAAAGGAAAAAAGGTCATTTAGCACCGAAACTCACCTTTCTTATATGCCGACAAAACTTCAAGGAAAACAAAAATAAGTGTTAAAAAGAAAACTTCTGAATACAACACAAAATATTTATAAACAAAAATATATCCGATAGAGCTAATCTACACAGAAAACTTATGAATACAAAATATTGATACACGGTACAAATCATGAACCCTATTTAAAAAGAAATGCTCATAATTTTAACAAGTGTTCAATGACCAGAAATTGTAGGTATTTAAAAATCTAGCATGACAATAAAGACGACTGTTACCACAATAATTTATACGTTTTTATTGCTCTATTGAAAGAACCATTAAACTATGCACATTATAATCCTTAATAATGATGATTCTCCAGCAGTAAAACCATAAAATATTGTACGATTAGAAAACCAAAAGGAATGTTAATTTGAAAAGAAAAGAAAAAAGAGAATATAAGAACTATGCGAAAACTAGTATACCATGAGATAGTTTTCGCATCTGAGTGCAGAAGAGATAATCAAAGATCATTAAGTAATACAAAATGTTAAAGTTGAAGTTATATTGATATAACCATACAATTGATTAGTTAGTGACCCAATAAAAACAGAAGAAGTCGAACCGTACTAACACACTATTCAAAAAACTGCAAGACATCATACTTTTTTCTTCCAAAAAAAATACCGCACATGAAAAATTTAAGAACAATAATACTAATTACCTCGATGCTAAAAAGCTAAATTGCTTTGAATCTAAAATGCTCTCGCTATTCCATCTGAATTTAACCTGAAAATAGTACAAAATGTCAAATCCTATAGAAATTATTTTTAGAACAAAAAAGCAGAAAAAAGCGGTTGAAATAAATAGGAAGAAAATGCTAGAGATAGATTTTACAACAGCGTTTCTACCGTAGGTGTAAAACACTCCATTTATCCAGTCAGTTAGCGAGAAAACATGTCAAAAACAGATTATTGTAAAACTGTTTTCAACAAAAAGTACGATTCACTCTTATGGCTTTCTTCTCAGTCACTTTCTCGGTAACCAACCAAACAAAGTAACTACACAACAAAGTTTTAAACCACCATCAGTAACAAATTCAGAATCAAAGCAAAATAACAGTTCATAAAATTCCCAAACTACAAAGTACTTTACAGAAAAAGAATCAGCATTCACGTTTAAAGCTGGTAATGCAAGCTCAAAACTAAAACTAAAACAACAATATGATTATGAATATTTCAGGTTAATCAGCAAATAAAATGAGAAAATTAGATGAAAATAGATATGCTTCATTTAAGGAGACAAAGAAAATTACACCTGAAGAAGCTAGAAGCTGAAGAACACGAAGAAGGAAAGAGAGAGAGAGAGAATCAGTAGCAATGAGAGATTAAGGGATTTACTTTTAAAAAAAATAAGTTTATGTGGGGGAGAGTAAATGAAGGATGGCCCCACTTAATCTGGTTCTTATGTAATTAATTAAATAGAAATTATTCATTAATCAAACATTTGTTAAAGCTTTACATTTAAAATAATAATTTTTTTAATAACAACCGGTTGGTCTAGTGGGATGAGGTACTAGATCACTTAAGTAAGGCTAGGGGTTCGAATCCTGGTGTTTGTGAATGGAACAAACTGGGTTGGGAGGATTGTTTTTGCCTCTGCAGTATCTTATCTGGATTAGTCGGTCAATAAATTGAATATCAGTTATTAATTAAAAAAATAATTATTTTTTTAATTTATAATCTGCGGGTTTTTGGAGACAGCCGTTGTTTCGTTTTCACCTGAAAACCGGCTAAGCCGCTATATTAAGGTTCAGCAGCCGGTTTCCACACCGTTAAATAATAAAAAGAAAAGAGATTTAGCTTTGAAGTTCGATGTAAAATACATTACTTGGAAATTTTGTTTGAATAATATTTTTTAAATTATTTACTAAAATAAACTTAAAAAATATTTAAGAAGATAGTATTAGTAATTAAAATAAAATAAATAACGAAAATATAAAAATTATTATATAAATTTTAATAATAACTAAATAATATAAAATTTCAGAATTCAAATCTGAGAAGTTTTGGATATTATCTTCAACTATCTATAGGTCTTACCAAAGTTTAAAACATATATTTAATAGCTCAAATTTAGTAAATTTGATTATTCGATTTAATTTTATATTATTTAAATATTAATTTTTTAAGTATTTAAATATAATATTTTAAATTTACATTTAATTAAGGGCTAGTATAAAAAAATTCAAACCATAACTCATTTTTCATTTAAACGTGTAACTTTTTTTCTGAAAATATAAAGTCTAACATTACAAAATTAACATTTTACGTACCTGATTCATAATAACCTTTAAAAAATTATGTTAAATGACAAGGGTTATATTTATAGAATTTTAAAAAATTATTTAAAATTAAAAATTTAAAAATTATAATTAAAAAACTCAAAATTTTCTTAAATCTTAAAAAAATCTAAAATGTTAAAAACTTTAATTTCAAATCTCAAACAATATTCGTCATCGTCTTCACCGTCGTCGTCACCCTGATCGCCCCCATCAACAAATAGTCACTTCAATTGTTGTTGTCTATCTAATAATCGATCGTGACATTTAATCTGCTAAATTCTTAAACTTAAATCTCAAATCTTTAAAATCTCGAACATTCAAATTCCTAAGAATCCTTTAATCAATTGGTCGATCGTGGCAATTGTGATAATTGTCGGAAGTAAAAGTAAAAAAAAGTGGTAAAATTGGTGGCACCGAATTTCACCGAAAAGTTGCACCACTTTTGTCAAAAAGGCAAGCCTCAATTGTTGAAAATAAAATGGTAAAATCTCATAATTAATCCCTAGACTTTAGGGTATTTACAAGATTAAGTCATTAAGCTTCAACTATAAATACCTTAGCTCATTTAGCTACAAAACCATCCCAAATCATTTCTTTCTCCCAATACTAGAGAGTTTTCTTGTGAGTTGTGAGTGTTTTGTAAACACCTATAAATTTTATCTCTTTAGTAAAAGATCTGCAACAGTCCGGAGACGTAGGCATAATTGGCTGAACTCTGTTATCAATTTTGAGTATTATTTTTCCGCTTTTATTTCACATTCTCACTAATCTGGTTATAGAAAAATTACTCGTTTATTTCCCAACAACTGATATCAAAGCTTTTGGTTATGAATTTTGTCAATTTTTTGTGAGGTTACTATTCATTACTATTCACATGAATAGTGAATATTGTGAATAGTAAAAAAATTGTCGGCAATACGAATTTGTCGACGGATGTGTTCTAATACACAGTGGTTTGCAAGAATTTTCAGAAACGATCCAAAAGAAGCCAGATTCGAGTGGGAGCGATGGATGCAGACAAAGGGAATGTGGAAATTGAGAAGTTCGATGGTGAGGACTTTGGCTTTTGGAAGATGCAGATTGAAGATTTTTTTGTACCAAAAAAATATATATCAACCTCTCTCAGGAAAGCAACCAGGGGGCATGAAGAATGAAGACTGAGCTCTTCTCGACAGACAAGCCCTCGGAGTTATTCGATTGACGTTATCCCGCAATGTTACTTTCAACATAGTAAAGGAAAAGACTACGGCGGGTCTTATGGCGGCTCTCTCCAGTATGTATGAGAAGCCATCGGCCTCAAACAAAGTTCACTTGATGAGCGATTATTCAATTTGCAGATGGCGGAAGGGGTATCAGTGGCTCAACACCTAAATGAACTCAACACAATCACAACCCAGTTGAGTTCCGTGGAAATTGAATTCGATGATGAAGTTCGAGCTTTAATTCTCTTATCATCTATACCAGACAGTTGGAATGCTACTGTTACAACATTCAGCAGCTCGTCGAGAAATAGTAAATTGAAATTCGACGATGTTCGGGATCTGGTATTAAGTGAAGAAATTTGACGGAGAGAATCGGGTGAAGCATCAAGCTCCTCAGCCTTGCACACGGAGTCTAGAGGGAGAACTTCAGAAAGAAATTCAAATCGTGGCATATCAAAATCCAGAACGGGAAAATCAAGAACGAGAAAGAAAGATTTTAACTATTATAATCGTGGCAAGAAGGGTCAGTTTAAAAGAGATTGACGAGCACCGAAGAAAGATACCAGCACATAGAAATCTGCCAACATGATAGAGGAGATAGGTGATGCCATGATTCTAAGCGTCAACAGTCCAATTGAATCATAGATCTTGGATTCAGGGGCATCTTTCCACTCCACCCCATGCCAAGAAATCATGGAGAACTATGCCAGTGGTGATTTTGGGAAGGTTCATCTAGCTGATGATGAAACCTTGAAAATTATTGGAAAATGAGACATCCGATTGAAGTTGCCAAACCAGACCACCTGGAAGCTGAAAGGAGTGAGACATATTCTTGATCTCAAAAGAAATTTGATTTATGTAGGAAAACTTGATGGAGAATGATATAGTATAACATTTTCAGGCTGTGAATGGAAGATTACCAAATGAGCACTCGTCATTGCTCGTGGTAAGAAGACTGATACTCTCTATGTAACCTCAAATTTAGAGAATATCATTGCAGTAGCAGATGCTGATGAAAAATCAAACCTATGACACCAAAGGCTTGGCCATATGAACGATAAAAAAATGAAGACACTTTTGTCAAAAGGGAAACTGCCGGATCTAAAGAATATAGATGTCGGACTATGTGAGGATTGCATCTTTGGCAAACAAAAGAAAGTCAGTTTTGCAAAGATTGGCAAGACACCCATGGCTGAAAAGTTAGAGTTGGTTCATACTGATGTATGGGGACCATCTCCAGTTCCATCTCTTGCAGGCTAACTATATTATGTCACCTTCATCGATGATTCTACAAGGAAGGTGTGGGTTTATTTTCTGAAGAAGAAATCAGAAGTCTTTTATACCTTCAAAAAATGGAAGGCCATGGTGGAGAATGAGACTGGTCTGAAAGTCAAGCGGTTGAGGTTTGATAATGGAGGAGATTATATAAATAGGAGATTCAGAGATTTCTGCGCAAATAATAGGATCAAGATAGAAACAACAGTTCCCATGACACCGCAGCAAAATGGCGTAGCAGAGCGCTTGAACAGAACTCTGAATGAACGTGCCAAAAGCATGAGGATACATGCTGGATTGCCCAAAATTGCTATGGGCTGAAGCTATCAACACTGCAGCTTACCTAATCAACCGTGAGCCCTCAGTTCCCTTAGATGGTAGAATACCAGAGGAAGTTTGGAGCAAGAAAGAAATAAACCTTTCACACTTAAGAGTGTTTGGTTGTATTTCTTATATATACATAAATTCTGCTGAAATAAGTAAACTTGATGCCAAGTCCAACAAATGTGTCTTTGTTGGTGATGGTGGTGATAAGTTCGGTTATCGGTTTTGAGACTATAAAAATTGAAAGATCATCAGAAGCAGAGATGTCATCTTCAATGAGAATGTGATGTACAAAGACAGGTCAACCATATAATCAAGTAGCTCCAATACCGAAGCTGAAACAAAGGAATTTGCTGAGTTTGAGGAGATTTCTGGAAATGATGTTCAGATCACTCCTGAAGAAGTTCAAGAAGAACCAGGCACACCAGAACTGAGACGCTCCTCCAGAATTCCTAAACCAACCCAACATTATTATCCTTCTTTACACTACTTGTTGCTGACTGACAACGGTGAACCAGAGTGCTATGATGAAGCAATGCAGGTGGATGATTCAATCAAGTGGGAGTCTTCCATGAAGGATGAGATGGACAAATTGAAGTTGTGTTCAACTTCAGTTGACATGCTAGAGTAACAAGACCAAAATATTGTTGCACCGATCGAGGTGTGGAGACAGATTAAAATCAGTCTTCAAGTGGGAGATTGTTGGAAGTAAAAGTAAAAAAAGGTGGCACCGAATTCCACCGAAAAGTTGCACCAATTTTGTCAAAAAGGCAAGCCTCAATTGTTGAAAATGAAAGGGAAAAATCTCATAATTAATCCCTGGACTTTAGGGTATTTACAAGATTAAGTCCTTAAGCATCAACTATAAATACCCTATCTCATTTAGCTTCAAAACCATCCTAAATCATTTCTTTCTCCCAATACTAGAGAGCTTTCTTTGTGAGTTGTGAGTGTTTTGTAAACACCTGTAAATTTTCTCTCTTTAGTAAAAGATCTGCAGCAGTCCGGAGACGTAGGCATAATTGGCTGAACTCCGTTATCAATTTCGGGTATTATTTTTCGCTTTTATTTCGCATTCTCACTAATCTAGTTATAGAGAAAGTACTCGTTTATTTACCAACAATAGTTAGCCATTTAGTCGATCATTTGGTCAATCATTAACCTTTGGCCGCTTGTTGATTTAAGAAAAGGGTGTGATCGCGTGAGAGCAAGGGAATGCGTGGGG